CCCTGGTGATCCTCTGCTGATAAGGAAAAGAAGTTGGAGCATTCTTCTGCTGTGGTGACATAGGGCTGCCGTCGCGCATGGCCTGTCCAATGGCGGCGGCGGCGGCGACCTGGTTATTGTTCATCTGGACGCTGAATTGGGCGAGGGATGTGTCGTCGGGTGGGTTGTCGAGATTCATGCCCATCGAGTCGAAATTGTCATACATGGAGCTATCGCCCAGCATGGCCATCATGCTGGGGTCATCTGCCATCTGTTCCATTGGAGAGGGGCGGGTCAGCGACGTTTTCTGGGGCGGGGTGCAGAGAACAGAGTCAGACGGCTCTGTACCACCAAAGGGTGAGGATCAGCGTCGCGCGGCGCGCAGGGTCAGTGTAGCAGTGTGCGGTCGCAATGGACCGTGGGGTGCGCTGTGCATGTGGGTTTGGAAGGATGAACGGCAAGCTAATGAAGAGATGGGAAAGGTTGATGGGAGACTCAGGCAAGGGGGGGGGGTTCGGTTCGGTGCCTGGGAAAGCCGACCAAGGTTGAAGAGTGAAACGACGGGCGGGACGGTGAGAGGTGACGGAAGAAGTGGAGGGGTCAAACGTACAGCATCCGTGACGAGCGAGTTGAAGTCGAAGTCGCCAAAGGTGTAGGCATTGGCGCCAGCCGGCGGGTGGTGGCCCACGAGACATGGTGAACAATCCGGGCGTCGGCCCTGGCCAGACCTGGGTCCAGCGTCGGGTCGAAATGAAAGGAACCCAGGGTCTGGATCCTTACGGACGGCTCAACGCTCGGGAGCTCAGCGCATCAGTGCGCCCTGGGGCATGCGGGGCTGTTGAGGGTACCATCTTCTTCCCGCTGCCACAATCTGATGAGGTAGGTGATGGCTTTCTGCTGGCTCTGGCCGGCTATTCGTTTGTCTTAGGTCGCGGAGAAGGCGTGCACTCCGAGGGCCCAGGTCGTGGTGACCGTCCGTTGCGGTTGCACGTCAAGTCAACCGTCAGTCAAGGTGCCGGGGGTGTCCGATGGCTGGTTCCGTTTTGAGGGTGTTCGTACGTCGCTCTCGTCTTTTTGTCGCTGTCGCTGGCAACAGAGCACAGAATGACAAACGCGAAATGTGAAGATTTGAATCGATCAGGTCTGGCTTGCCCGAAAAGAACGCCTGGGAAGTAGGAGAGAGGGAAAAAAAAAATTAAAACTCCAGCTTTCGGGCGCGTTAGGACTGGATCGGGACAAGGGAGACGACAACGAGCACCTGGTGCGATGGTGTCGGGCCTGGACAGATGTCGGATCAGGTTGGCGCTTACCTGGGGCTGGATAGACACAGGCCCCTCCTACTTTTATTTTTTAGGGTGTCTACCAAGCAGGGTCTGAAGGGAAGAAACGGTATGCACAACCTGGCGCGAACCACCGTGGCCATGCGGCATGCGGCATGGAGTGGTTTTTACGGGCGAGACGAGGATTTGAAGAGAGCAGCGTGTTCTCTCGAGAAGGGGTGGAAGGGGGAAACGCTGGTGGAATTATGGCACCTTAGGCAAGGTAGGGTGGTGGGTAAGTGAGGGAAGTAATAAGGTAAGGTACGGACAGGTACGGGGCGGGAATCTGTCGGTCAGGTCTGCGCAAGAAAGGTACGTATCAGTAAAAGCAATGCTGGGAACAAGAGAGAAAGAGGAGGGCGCCTGCTGCTCCTGCTCGACGATGCTGACGAGGTGCCTGCCTCGTTGGGTAGGACCTTCCAAAGGTACCCATGCCAGTCTCTCGGGGTTGGGGAGGTGCTTGGGACGAAGGCAGGTGAGGAAACGTAGAGCTGCCCGTTGTCCTCCCCTCCTTTTGTGGGATGGGAAGGTGAAAGTGAATGCGCCTGCGACTCACCGTTTGGTCTGGCTCGCTTGTCTGCTTGGCTTGCTGGGTGGTGAGATGGGTGCCCAGGTATCTTGAAAGGCAGGCTGGCAGGCAGGCTACACGAACTCGCCTGTATCTACGTGACCCCTAGGTGCGTGATGCAATCAAGTCGACTGCGTCTGCGGCTGGTGCTGTCGGGTCGTGAGTTGTGTCCTGCTGGTGATGAAGGGAAACAGTGCGCTGTAGGGGAGGGAGGGTACCCACAGGCAGGCGAAGAGGATGGGAAATTTGGAAATGGGAATACTGCAAACATGGCAATCTGGGTCTTGGCCCCCGACTTGGGCCCTGGACACGGGACGTTCTTCGACACTGGGACTCTCCATCCCCCTCCTCGCTCTGCGCCGTTCGGTCTTGGGTCGACTAGCCCGCTCTTGAGTGGAGCTGAGCACATGTGGAGACGTCAGTTTTGGCACCGCCTGGCAGTAGTACTTAGTGCTGTACTTGCTAGTAGTGCTACACTCGCTGGCGGTGCTGGCGTCCTCCCTCCTCGGAATCCCAGCGAAAGAAAACCCCTCTTCACAGACCCCTCTGGACCCAACTCCAGCGACGCGGTTGTGCGAATGGCATGCCACGAGACCGTGGAGAATGTCGATCATGTCCTCTTTGCGACAGGACCCTGCGATGCGTCCGGAGCAAACAGTCCTTCGCCCCGTCCAGGCCGGGGGGGGGGGGGGCGGTCCACCCACCCTACCACTGTCGGTGGACCTTGATAAGTCCCAATCTGGTACGAAAG